TTCCAGCAAGGGTCGGGACAACAGCCGCCCCTGAGAGGCGTGGGTCTCCACTGCCAGGCCCTGTGCTGGAGAGGTGGTGCAGGCACGCGGCTCCCTCTGTGCCCACCTCACTCCTCTGACTTCCCATTCAAGATAATTCCAGAATTCCAGGCCTCTCCAGGGCCTCCTCCGTGACTCCTGTGGGCCATGGGCCTCTTGCTCCATTGAAAACCAGTGGTAAAATATGAATGTTACAACCGCTGTTGGCATAAAGATGAATATATTGATAGACATTAACACATTTTCTTTGACCAAAATGGTACTTTTTTTCCTTCTCATTTGAAAAGAAATTAGAACATGTTCATGGGTCTCTAAGAGCACGGTGGGCCCATCAGCCCACCTCCTCTGCCCCCCTCTGCGCTCACCCTGAGAGCGCCCAGGTTCAGAGTCCCTACTGAGTGGGGGAGGGGTACGTATCCAGCTCCCAGAACGGGAGCACCGGAGGACGCCAGTGGTCCCCAAGGCCAAGGGATGACCTTGGGAGGCCTTCCAGCTCTGGAGCTATAGTTAGAGCCACAGGCTGGTGGGCCTGCTGCAGAAGCTGGGGAGAGCCCCCCCCCATGCGCCAGCCCCCCCCCCCACAGGGCATAGGACCTCTCCAGGGATTGTGCAGTGTGGGTGGGGTCCTCCTAGCCAAGGAAACGTTTCCAAGGGCAGTGCTCCCTCCACAAGGGCTGTGGGGGACCCCTGCAGGGGGCTGGGGGCCGCCATCTTCCCCAGGGTGCACTCCCTCTACCCGCTAACTCACTCTTCTGCCAATCCACTCCGGACTCCAGACCCAGAGCCTCGTGCCTGGCTGCCCTCCCCACCCGAAGCCACGCTCTGCAGAAGAGGCCATCACCATGGGGCAGGGCTCTGCCCGGGACGCTTCCCAGGGCCTGGGAAGTCACGGCGCCACAGGACATGTGTGCAGCATGGCGTCAGGTACCCAAGAGTTTCCTTCCTCCGGTCCCTGGACGCCTGAGAGCCCAGCTGACCCGTGTCCCAGTGCTCGGTCCTATGATGTGGCCCATGCAGCCCAAGTCCAGTGGCCGGAGGGTGCAAGGGCCTTCCAAGTACCTCCTGCCAGCTCACGCCAAACCTGCTCAGAGCCGGCCCCTCGCCCCCTCTCCCCTCCCCCCTCCAGCAAACCTGAGTTTGGCTTCCTCCCCTCCTTTCCGGCCTCCACCTTGCGGGATGCAAGGTCCAAATCCCATTCCCCACTGCACACTGGGCCCTGTTACTTTGGAGAGAGCATCCCTGGCTCCTATCTCTCCAAATTAGTGTCCCCAACTCCTTACCTCCAGCCGGCGGCCCAGTCCCCCCCAGGCCGCGGCTGGGAGCAGCCAGGCAGCCTCTGGCCGGTTTGTACTGTCCGGAAGGAGAGGAGAGAGGGCAGCTGTGGGGGGAACAGAACCTGATTCTCTGAGTCAGGAGAAGAGCTCCGGCAGCCCAAGCCTCTGCGGCAGGGGCTGAAGGCCAGCGTCAATCCCAGGGCACCCATGCGCCACGGCCACCCTGCCCTTTCTCTCTCCTTTCCCCCCCCCCCCTTTCTCTCTCTGGCTCCCTGAGTCTCTGGCAGAGCCCCGTCCACAAGGACGACTGAAACTTTATAGGGCATGATTCATCGGGTGGCGCGCCCCTCGGAGCCACAGTGCGTATTACATTAATCAGTGTCAGACCACTAAAACCGAGATATGAATATGAATTCCCCATATTGCAGCCGAGATAAATGTGCTTGTGAATATAATTGATCAAAGGAAGGAGGGAAGGAGGGATGGTGAGAACAGAGACTTCAGACTCCAGGCCAATGACTGGGGTGGGACCCGTGCCTGCTCCCCAAATCTTCACTCTGGGAGCACGGGGTGGGAGCAGGGAATCTAGAAGGTGTGTGCTTCTGACGATTTCCCTGCCATGGGACCGAACTGGAGCAGAAAGAGGGTCTCCATGCAGGACTTCCTACTCTTCCCTGAAGACTCCACAAACAGAAGTCCTCTGCCCCAGACACACGCTGTCCTTTCTATGTCCCCATTGAGGAAGGGGCACAAATATTAATCCTGTAGACATCCCTCACTCCTATCCCTTTTCGGGGTTCAACTTCCTCTTCGCTGGTCCCAGAACTATGCCCACTGTCTGAAACGGTCCCTAGGCAGGGATCAAGTATGAGAGCACTTCTGCACATACAGAAAGGTCCAGAAGCATTTTTGCTTTGGCTCTGGGAGGAAAAGAGGTCTCAATGTCTACTCCCGGACATTTCAGGAGCGGAAACTCCAGGCCCAGGGCGGCTGGGGTGCCGCACACCCTACGAGTGCACACTCAGGTAGCTGAGGTGGTCGGGAAGGATGGAAACAAATCATGCACAAAGAACAAAAATGATTTTTTTCAATGCTCGATTAAAAATTCATTTCTAGCTTTTCACTCGAGAAAAATAATTCCGAGGCTGGAGATCTGATTTCTTTGCATGGGGAACTCGGGTCAGCAGGAGGGTGCACAGACCCTTCAGGATGGACGTCCAGGCCTCTGGGTTCTCTCGGCTGCGACGCAGCTGCTGAGCACACGCTGGCCCAGCCCCCTGGACAGCGGCATTCGGGGATCCCAAAGGTATTGGACAGGGAAAAGGAGAAGAGTAGAAACAGGGGGTGTGCAAGTGGCCGATGCCTGCACGGGCCATCTATCTGATTCTGGGAAACGGAGCTCCTCTGCCACTGAGCGGATGGACTCAGTGCCCACCTGAATCCCACCTGATGCTCCCAGCATGGCCCAGGGGGGTCCACCAGCACATCCTGGGGACCAGAGCCGCATGTCTGTGCCAAGACCGCCATTCCTCATCAGGGCAGCGGGTCGCGGCTGGTCGAACCTCTCTAGACGGCACTCTTGCCAAGGACACAGGATCCCTCTGTGCCCAGGGCCACGGCGCGGTGTGAGGATCCACAGGGGAGCCCCGTGTCCAGGGCAGACCAGGAGCTCCTCTCTGAATTCCCAAGCCCCACCCGGATGATGAAATCACCACCGTGTGAGAACCCCGCATCCACTCCTTCCCCAAAAATGCCAGCAGCCCAACCAGCAGGCCCGCCATCGCACCCCCAAATTCAAACAACCCGTGACACCCAAGATCACAGAGAAAGCCTGAGCACCACAAATCGAGGCTCGGCGCTAACGGCAACAATAAGGCCTGGCACCCCAGATAAAGCTCCCAGGGCGCCCCAGGAGCCAGATCAACGCCTCGGTCAGGACCCCATTCCGCTTCCAGCCCATAGAGGGCGCGCCGAGCACGTCCATCCGGACTGGAAACGCCGCCACCGCAGCCGAGGCCTCAGCGTGGCCGCCCGAGGACCGCCCTCCCCGGCCCGCGCCCCCCGCGCCCCCACCCCCACGACCCGTCCGTGCGCGCTCTCCCGCCGCCTTCGCGCCTCCTCTCGACACCCCTCCTTCAGCCTCGGCAGCGAGGACACCCCTAACTCTACGAGGACGGAAGCGGCCTGGGGGGCCAGAAAGGGGCAGGCCTCCTGGGGTGGCGTCGCCAAGTCCCCGGTGCCAGCCGCCCCCCCGCCCCCCACCGCGAAGGATCGCGGGCGAAGACTCAGGCCGCACCCAGACTTTCCCCTCGGCCGGCCCCTCCGGCCACCAGCAGCCCGGACAGCTGGGCTGCGGGACCCAGAGCGACAACCCGGCGGGGGGGGGGGGGCGGCGGGGGTCCCGTCCCGCAGCGGGGAGCGGCTCCCTCCCCCTGCGGCTCACGGCCTCCCCCGAGGTCTTGTTCCAGCTTGTACTCTCAGTTTTCGCCAATTCTGCATAAAGTCTCCTGCTCCCCCGTTTGAAGTGCAGGCCGCGGCAGCGCGTCTGCCCCAAGGGCTAAGCGCTGACCCCGAGAGCCCCCAAGCTCCGGCCGAGCCCCACCGCGTGGCTCCCTCCCGCACTGTCGCGTCGGCAGGTGACCGCTCACGCCCACACCACCACGTCCCTGGCTTCCCTTCCCTCGGCTGTCAGGGTGCCCAGCCCGGGCGCAGGGGTCCGGCGGGGCTCCCCGGAGGGCCAAAGCCCCCTGCGCCCTTCCGCAGCCCAGAGGCTACAGCAGCCCCCAGGCCCCCGCCGCATCCCTGCCCGCCCATCAGGACAGTTTAAAAGAGCCTTCTAGTCTCTCCGCGTTTGATTTCACCAAGTCACTAAAACACGCATTCAAAGCCGAAAGTTCATACTCCCTACGTCCTCAGTCTACCCACAGAACGACCCGACCGTGATGCGCTGTTCCGACAACTTGGTTATAAATGGATTTCTAATCCCGAGTTCTCCTCTGGGGACATAACTGGAAATTCTTTTCCTTTTTCCCTCCACTGTTGTCCACGTTAAGAAATCGTCTTATAAACTGCTGAAAATCAAACTCCTTTATGTCCAGAGAAAGGCGTGCCCCCCATCAACGGAGAAGGGTCGGAAATTAACACTGCCGACGAGAAACTGCCCAAGTGACAACAGCGACAAACGCAGCGACAACCTCAGGGCTGGAGAAGCACGGTCTCCGTGGAAACTCCCCAGGGAGCCCCCCTGCCCAAGCCGGGGCCCCTGGGCCCCGCCAGCATTCCGGAATTGGGGCACATCGCGGCAGCCCAGCCACACACAGCAGCGCGACAGTGGGCATCATTTCATTTAGTTTATTAGACAAAAATATATGATTTAGACAAGTTCGCTGCCGCGCTATTTACAATCTGAAATCACTCTATATACAGAAAGAAGAAGGGGAAAAAGACACAAGCACGTGGGGCATTTACCGAGTGGGTCGTCAGCCGGAGCCCTGGGCAGAGGCCGGGCGCTGGACCGAGCTCCGACCGCGAGCCCCCTTCTGCAGAAAGCGATGGGTGGCAGTCGTGGACGTCGTGGCCTTCTGTGTCCTTCACGCCAGTCTGGAATATTTGTCCGGGGTCCTCCCTCCTCCCCTCCCTCCCGAACTCCTCCCCCCTCCCCCCGCGAAAGTGAAGGACGACCCTGCATCAGGCGGACGGGAGGGCGGCTAGGATCCGCGGCGTTCCCTCCTGCGGGGCCAGCGAGCTGCGGGCAAACACAGGGACAGGGTCAGGCCCCGCCGGCCGCCCAGCCCGGCCGCGCTGCGCCCGGGTCGGGAGAAACGGGGTGGCGGCCCCCCTCTACCGAGCACCCCAGACCCTCCCGCCCCGACCTTCCCCCGCACCCCCGCCCCGGGGCCCCAGCAAGCAACACTCACTTGTCGCGCGCGGGCTGGAAGGGCGACGGTAACTGCTGTGCGGGTGACTCGGGCCTGGGGACCAGGTCTCTCTCTGCGAGGGAGGGGGAGAGGCACAGCCTCAGGAGACGTGGGGCGGGGGGCTGCCGAGGGGCGCAGGCCTCTTCCCCACCCACCCCTCCCTCCGGACACGGGGATGGGGTCTCCGAGGGAAACGCCGCCCCTCCCCGGGCAGGGCTGCAAGTCCCCGGGCCTTGGCCTCAGTCCGCGAATCCGGGCAGAGATTCCCGCTCCACCCGGGGTCCGGCCGCCCCGCCCCGCCGCTGCCCTCCCGGCCGAAGTGGGGCCGACCCCGACCCCCCCCCCCACGCCCCCTCCGCGGGCGCCTCACCTGGAAGCGTGGGGCTGCTTCGGGCAGAGGCCTTGTCGCCGGGGAGCGCCCCCGCGGCCACGGGGACGGGCGGCGGCGGCGGCGCGGGCAGGTGCGGGCCGTGGGGCGCGGCGTGGGGCGCGCCGACGCCCAGGAAGGAGCGCATGTTGAGCAGGGAGCCCTGCGCCAGGAACGCGCCGCTCGTCCAGTTGGAGAACTTGCCGATGTGGCAGGTGTACAGTCCGTGGCTGGGCAGGAAGGCGGGGTGCTGCAGCGGCGCGGCCGCGGGGGGCCCGGGGGCGGCGGGCGGCGGCGGCGAGGCCTTGGGCGCGCCGTCGGGGCTGGTGGCCGTCTCCGCCAAGGACCAGATCTTGGGTTTGCTGTGCGGCGCGGCCTGCAGGCCGCCGGGCGCGGCGCCGGGGCTCAGCAGGCGAGTGCTGCCGGGCTCCGCGACCCCCTTGGCGGGACCGAGGGGCGAGTCCCGGGGCTTGAGCGCGGCGGCCGCGGCCAGCGGGGAGCCCGGGTCCCGGGCGGGCGCGGGGGGCGCCTCGGCCTTGTCCTCGTCGTCCTCGTTACTCTGGTCGCCATCGTGCTCATCGATTTTGTCGATGTCGATGCTCTCCAGGTCGATCTCCTCGTCGTCCTCCGCCTTCTCCGGGTCGCCCTCCGTGTCGCTCCCGAAGAGGGCCCCACCCTCCTGGTCCTTGCTGCGCGCGCCCCACGTCACCTTGTTCTCCTTCTTGAGGCGCCGGCGCGCGTTGGCGAACCAGGTGGAGACCTGCGTGAGGGTCATCTTGGTGATGATGGCCAGCATGATCTTCTCGCCCTTCGTGGGGTACGGGTTCTTGCGGTGCTCGTTCAGCCAGGCCTTGAGCGTGCTCGTGCTCTCGCGCGTGGCGTTCTTGGGCCGCCCCGGGTCCCCGTACTGGAACTGGCCGTAGGGGTAGTACGCGGGCGCCGCGTGCGCCGCGAAGGCGGCAGGGTGCACCCCGGGGTTGTCTTTGAGTTCATACTGTGAGCCCTGCAGCCGCGTTGCCCACCAAGGGAGGAGAGAGGCAGGAGGGGTGTGGGGGGGGAGGGAGGGAGAGAGAGAGAGAGAGAGCGATGAGTCCCCCACTCTGGGAAAGTCGGGGGACAGCCGCTTTTGTGCTCTGGACAGCAGGAAGCCCCCAGCCCCCGAACACCACTCTGGGAGGGAGTGAGGGGTCAGAATCATGAGCCGCCTCTAGAAACTGAACTTCCAGCCACCACGAAGAGGTGTTTTTGTTTTGGTCACTCAAGAAAAGTTCCAGAATCCGAGCCTCTCCAGAAGGCCACAGCAGGAGCCTCGGCCGGTAGAATTTCCCTAGGCCACCCTCAGTCCCCCCGCCACCACCCCCTACAACTCCAGCAGCCAATTTCCAAATTTATCTCACACTAACTAGAAGGAAAAACCTTTTAACTACCCTGATAAAACAGCTCTCTGAAGGCAAAGAACCCAAGCCTCCTCCCTTCGACCCTGAGGGGGTCAAGCAAAATAAACCAGGCCAGGGTTTTCTTTGGGTCCAAATCCTCCAGCAATTTAAAATGAAAGCACACTCCTTTTAGCTCCCAAATTAATCTGCATAGAATGGCTTCCCCACACTTAGAGGTCTACAGTGCTGACAGGTAATTTAAAATTTTAATCCTGGCCATCATCAACAACAATAACAAAAACACCATTTGTTTTTTTTAAATACAAAAGGAGGGCTTAACGGGTAAAATATTAACGCGAGGGCCGGGAGCTCCTAGCTGTGCGGAGGGGAACCCTGGCCGAGGCCTCTCCTCACTTACTTTATCTCTTAAGTTTGACTTTGATGTGGGGAGAGCAAGCACAAAGTGTTTGCAGGCATTTAGAGGCCGTGATTTATTTGCAATCAATATTCTTTTTATCATCGGTAGTAAAACACAGCAAGTCAAATTATCCCATCAGGTTTTTTGGTAAATAACATTTTATCTTTCTAACAACCTCATTAGGCCTCATTATTACCATAAATTGCCCAGACAGACATTCACTCACAATTTTATCTTTTGACTTCCAAATCCCCAATCATAACGGCTTGGAAATCTAGGCCCTAGAATCAAGAGTTTGGATTTAGGTTTACTTTCTGAGAACCAGCAGCAGACCACTAAGAAATACACTACACCTTTTTTGGGGGGGAGGGGGGGCGAATTTCTAGATGGTTTCCCCTTACTAAAAAAAAAAATCTAGCATCTCCCTTTCCCACCGAAGTACAATAGGAGCAGATCCATTCCCTACAGATCCCTTTCTCTCCCACAAACACACAGTGGGGGGGGGGGCAAATGGCACACATCTGTATTCAAAATTTCTGTAAAAAAAAATTGTAACGCTTCACATAAAAACTGTCCATTTGCTACATTAGCAGAAAGGGTTTCCGGACTGAGAAAGTTGTAAAGTGCATAGTATTTCTCTGGCGAATTAGTTTGTTCGCCGATGCCACAGAGAAAAGGTTTTCCTGGCCAGATTTCGTTTTCACCTAATCTTTGCAAAATGCACTCCTCGCTTTTCTAATTATTTAGGTTGTAACTGTGAGGACGACATTCCGGCCTCTTCTCTGCTGGGAATTCTTTTTGAAAGGGTACCTTGTAAATCTCTCATCGCTTCCCTGGCATCCCCGGCCGCCAGAAGAAAATGGGAGCTGATCTTTTTCGATAGCAAGCGGTCTGAAAGGCAGCCGGGGCCGCTTTCAGAGAAATAGCCTTTCTTTTCAAAACTACAAGAAAAAAAAGTTACAGAAAAACACACCAGCCGCTTTTCTCGCGTGCAGTCGGCCGGTATTTATTTCCTGTCTCATCTTCGGGGAGCCGGGAGGGGGGGGGGGGGGGGGCTGAAAGCTGCGTTATTCCGGGGCAGCAGCGCGGGGAGGGGGCTGCCTGCCTGGCCCCCGCGCCGGGCGCTCAGTTCACCAGCCCCCGAAGTTTGCGCGCGACCTTGCAGTCAGACCGAGGAAAATGGATCCTTTGGACGACAGAATGGCGAATGCCCCGCGGAGAATTAAATTTGCAGCTCCCTCCCCCACTGACACCCACTGGGACGGGAGACTCCGCGGACAGCATTTATTTTAAGCCCGGGGACTCTTGTTTTCTTTAATCCTCCATTATGTAACGCGGGAAGAAAAGTGCTTTTCATTCGGTGCAAAAGAAACGAAAACTTTGGCAACTTACGAAAGTCCCGGCAAACACCGTTTCAGACGCCAGGATTATTTCCACCTATTTTTTCCCCCCGTAAATCTCAAATCTGCACACACTCCGTTACGAGACCCCGTCCGGCCCTTCCGATCTCCCCATTGTTAGGGCGATTTTGGCCACCTCGACCAGGCTGCGCCGGGTCCCCCGCGTCCGCCCGCGCGGGAGACAACCGGGTCCCCCCGGCCCGGCCGCGGCCCCGGAGCCCAAGCGGCCGCGCGAGCCGGGTCGGCCCGCCGCTCCCGGGCGTCCCGCGGACCCGGGCCGAGCTGCCGGAAGCGCGCCTGCCTGCCCCGCCGCCGCGGCCGGGCCGGGGACGCCGGCGACTGTGGCCCCCACCCCCCGCTCGAGCGCGCGCCCCGGGGCCTGCGCCTCCGGCCTCGCGGCTCCCCGCGGAGCCCCCCGTGCGCGGCCCAGGCCTCTCGCCTCCTCGGGCCGGCCCCCACTCGCCCCCCGCACGCACCCCCAGCCGCCTCGGCCCCGCGCCCCGGCCTCCCCCGCTCCCCGCCCGAGCGCCTCGCCGCCGGGCCACCCGCGCCCGGGGCGCCCGCGGCCGGGGGGGGGGGGCGGGGGAGGCGGCCGAGGCCGGGGCGCGGGCGGGGCGCACTCACCATCTGCGAGAAGAGGCTGAGGTCGGCGGCGTAGGGCAGGAAGGCGCTGTAGCCGGGCGCGCCCGCGTACGGGCCGGCCGCCGCGTACATGCCCAGCACCGAGGTGACGGCGGCCGCGCCCGCGCCCGCGCCCAGCTCCGCCGCGCCCGGCCGGCCCGACGAGGCGGCGGCGGCGGCGGCGGCGGCCGCGGCCAGCACCCCCGGGCGCTCGCCCCCGTAGGCGCCGGGCCCCGCGGCGCTCAGGTACTGCGGGTAGCCCAGCTGCGGGAAGGACATGTCCGCGGATCGGCGGCGGCGGCGGCGGGCGAGTATTAAAGGGGCGGGGGCGGGCGCGGGCGCGGGGGCGGGGGTCGGGGCGGGCGCGGCGGGGGGGAGGGGGGCGGGGGGTGCTGGGGAGCGGGCGGCCGGCCGGGCGCGCTCGGGCCGGCCCGGAGGCGGGGGGCCGGGGGCTGCTGCCTGGCCCGGTGCTCGCTGGCGCCCGGCTCCCGGCTGCGCCCGGCTCCGCGATCCCGCGCCGACTGCGGCGGCCGCACTCCGCTCGGCGGCGGGGCTCTCGGACACAATTTGAAGTTGATGCTTTGATTGGCATCCCCTTGAGCGCTGGCCCCGCCCCCGGCTCCCCTCCCGCCCCCTCCCTGCCTCCCGCCCGCCTCGGCCGGCGGCTCCCGCCCCTCCCGGCGAGCACGTGGTGCGCCGCGCCGGCCGGGCCCCCTGTGCCCGCGGCGGGCGCGTGAGCCGAACGCGCGGCGGGTGCGGGCTGCTCCCCGCGCGGCTCCCGCGGCGGCCTGACAACCTGTCGACGCCGGTTCGCTGCTGTCGGACCCTGGGGTTCGCTGTTCTCCGAGCCAAGGTGCGCCTGCTCTTCCAGGAAAACGTCTCGGCGCCTGATTTTCCGCCGTTGGGGCGGCGGGGCCGTGGACAGCCGGCGGGGGACGGCCCTCTCCCCCAGGCCCGCGCCGCCTTTGTCTCCCCCGGGCCTCCGGGCCCCGGCTGCGCCTCCGGGCCGCGCGGCCCCCGCTAGGCGTCAGGTCCCCGGCAGTGACCGGCCTCGCCGCGCCTGGAGGAGCGGGAAGCTGCCGAGCTCTGCAGGCTTCTCCGTTTGTGAAAACTTTGAGAAAGGGCAGCAGAGAAGCCAGTTCGAGGGGGAAACAGATGCAGTCCACACTGACAGGTTCTCGGGGGTGGGGGTGGGGGGACCCTGTCTTTGCAGGAGAATCGCCGTTGCAGCGGGAGGGAAACGTCCTGCCCCCACCCCGGCGAGGGGAGACGCTCAGCGCGGTCTGGGGGCCCCGTCGTTTGTCCGCTAGGTGCGCACGTGCGGGATGGACACTTGCGTGCGGCGCGCAGGCTCCCTCTTCCCGTCCCTGCTGCTGCTCCATCTCGGCCCCGCCGGAAGGGCAGGCGGGCCCTGCCTGGCGCCGCACCCCGGGGTGGCTCCAGGTCCGCGAAGGGCCCTGCGCATCTCCGGGTGCGCGGGGCAGGCCGCCCTGGCGGCCCGCGTTGGGGGTGTGCCCGGGGTGCGCGCCGCGGCTCCTGGGGCCGCGTTCCGCCCTGCCTGCTGCGCAGCAGCCGGAGCCCGCGAGCACCCTGCTGTGGCAGAGCGCACCCCGACCCCGCAGCAGTCTCACCGCGCACTCGGAGGAGCCTTGGTCTGGCCCAGTTCGGGAGCTCAAGTTGAACCAGCCCTCCGGGTCCTGTCCTCAGCGAGCTGCGCTGCTGGTGACCCGGGCCGCCCACACCCGGGACCCTGACCTGTCCCCCATCCCCTACTTCCAACTGCCTGAATCATTCCATTGCCAGGATCATGGGGTCCCAGGGACTCTTGCAGAATCAGGAAGGCTCCCTTTTACCCAGTTTGGGGCCTGAGGACAGACATGGGGAACCACCGCCTATAATTAACAACAATAATGCCCATAATAGTAATTACTAATTACCAGCTGCATAATCAGTCTTTAATTTCTCAGCTCAGTCAGGGTTTTCTTTCTATTGGTGTGTCCCTCCCCCCACCCTCACTTACCCCCTCCCCACTCAGCGAACTAACCCTTGCTCACCCCAGAACCCCCCTGCAGCTTCCTGGGCACCTCTCCTGCTCTGACACTTATTCCCGGGTCCTGGAGAGGAGCCCTAACCACTTCCAACCCCGGAAGTCACTAACTGGCAGCCTCCCACCCGCCAGGCCTCTCTCCCCTACATCCAAAACAACCCCCTGGGCCAGCCCCACTGCTGTCCTGTTTAGCAAACTCCAGTGTCACATTTCAGGGTGACAGGTAAATACAGGTGAGATAAGCCCTCTTCTGTGACCTGGAGAGCAGGTGGAATGTAAGCCCAGAGAAACATGTCAGTGTCAGGATTCAGCCACACGGATTGATGGCCTCCTTCTCCCTCCCCACCCGAATTCAGCTGTACTGAAGCTGTCAGAACCTGGGGGGGGGGGGCTGCAGATTTTGTCCTGACCCCTGTCACCTGCTGAGCCCTGCCTCCATTATTATGAAATGATAGTTGGTTCTGGAAGTCGTCGGGGAGGGGAGTGGGAAGGGGCCTCTTGGAAACCACGTTTGAGGATTCAGAGGTACAGGAAGAATTGGTTCTAGAAAGGCCTGTGGACTCTCCCAGGAAGCCCTGAAAACGTGCCCTAGTGGTGACTGTGACCATTCCCCGGCCAGGGCCAGGGCTGGACTCCAGCCGAAAGGGGCCTGAGCCCCTGATCAGCCCTTCCCTTCTTTCTCCTTAAGCTTTACCCAAAAATTTGCATGGGAGAAGACTAGGAAGCAGCCAGGGGGAGGGGAGGGGATGGGGAAGGAGAAGAAAAAGAAAACTGCCTCCAAACCACCCCATTGGAGAGGAGGAAGGAGAGAAGGATCCAGAACTTCCTGCCTCTGCATCCCCATGGAGAGTGTCACCTCTCCAGCCAGGTGTCTAATCCTTTTCAGCATCAAATAGTTAGTGGGGGCTGAAAAAGAAGACCCAGGGTGCCTGAGGCTGGACCCTGGAGCTGACTTGAATATCTGCTTAGGGGGAGTCCAGAACTTTCCCCAAAGAAGAGCACCAGGCTCTGGCTCACTTGCTCAGGCTCAGCCCCAGCCCTTCTGGGATCCTGGCCATTTCCCTGATGGGGCAGAGGCACTGGCAGAGAGGAGGGCCAGGCAGCAAGGGCCTTGACAAGCTCACCGGGGTGGCTGGGGGCAAGCTGTGGGGCCCCACCAGCCCCACCATGGAAACCAGCAGCGGGGGGTGGGGAGACACCTTCCCAGACCCTCTGCCACTGTCCGCGCCTCACAAGGGGCTCAGGCAGGGCCCCCGGCCTGTGCGGAGGCCGAGCTGCTGCTGCAGAGGAGCCTCCCACTTCCCGGTGGCCAGCCCCAGGGTCCTGGACACAGCCAGAGGCAGGACCTCAGAAAGGTACAGAGCCAGACCTCGGGGTCACTGCGAGGCCTAACGGGATCTCCAGCAGGTGGGCTACCATCTCCGATCCCAGAGGGAGCACGGGGAGGGCCACCCCCACCCTCGGCTGTTAGACCCGGTCATGGGCACCACCACGCAGAGCTGGGCAGAGGCAGTTGACCAGGGCCTTCTGGCTAGAAAGCCACGACCTTCAGCCCGCCACTCCCAGGACCTGGACCTCGGGATGCACCTGTGCATGTGCAGGGCGTGGCTCTGGCCGAAGGGGACTCTGGAGGGACACACAGAAAGGTCCTGAGTCCCAGGCGTGTGCTGGGGGAGGGAGGAGGGGGAGTCGGTGAAAATGTGATTTTGGACAACTTGACTTTTAAATGGGTTTCAAGGCCTGATGGAAAGTACTTGCTTGTGTCATTAGGTTGGTGGGGGTAGTTTTCTAAATAGGAGGGAATTGTTATCACTGGTCCAAAAGCGCTGCTCTTTTATCTTTCCTCCGGCCCGGAGGGTAAAGGCTGGGTTCAGCCAGCCACTCCCCAACCCCTTCAGATTTACTGGAGGATAAGACTGAACAAACCAAACAGCGTCTCCATTGTGTTTCTTCCGAAAAAATTTTATTTCTTCCGAAATAATCATTCCGAAATGATTTCGAGGTTCCACGGACCCAGGTCGCTAAAGAAGAGGAGGAAGCTGTTGAGAAACCGGACTTATTCGGGAGCCCTCACGGGGACCTGCCTCTAGCGCCCAGGCCTGGGGCGACCAGAGCCCGGGGTCGGGGATGCAGCGGGGGGTGCCTCGGGCTCGGCGTCTGCGGTTCAAGATGGCCATTCCTTCCAGTGCGTTCCTTCCAGTGCGGATGGCGGGGCGGCAGCTCGGGGTTGGCGCTTGGAGGCCTGACCCGGCCGCGCCCAGGACGCGCCCGCCCTCCGCCCGCACGCGCGCCTCCTGATTTATGAGTCTTGTTAAATCCTCATTAGGCTTTGCACCTTTCTCGGCAGGACGCAGGAGCCACCCCGTTCGGCGACGGCGAGGCGGCCGGCAGGCAGTCCCCGGCGGCCGGCCGGGAAGCGCCCCGGAGCGCGCGGCTGTCACCGGTGCCCTGGGGCGCCGGGCGGGGCGTGGGGCGGGCGGGCTGCCCGGCCTGCGCTCTCGGCGGGTCACGGCCGGGCCGCGCGGGGTCAGGAGCGGCACCCCCACCCCGCGAGCGCCCTGGAAGCGCGGGCCCGCCGACCTCTCTGCGGACGCGCCGCGGTGGCACCAGAGCGGGCCGGCGGGAGGCGACTCCGAGAGACTCCCCGGAAACCCGGGAAAGGAGACGCCGCGAACACCCCGGACCCGGGCGGGTGTGACGCTCCGGGCAGTGCCCACCCGCGGGCCGCGCAGAGCGCGTGCTGGGACGCAGCTGGGGCGCGGCTCCCCGGACCCTGGCGGCGGAGCCCGAACCGGCCGGAGGAGGAAACGGACCGCAGTCCCCTGGCCTGGAGTGCGTGTCGCCTCCCCGGGTGTCGGAGGAGGCGAATTACATGTGTGTGCACACACGTAAATATTTTATAAACCTCCCCTTAATTAACCAAATCATTTCCATTATGCCTCCAATGTGATCAACAGCCGCGGTGTGAGGGTTTTCAGGGTTTATAATTTGATGTCACCAGACGGTCGCTCGGGGGCAGAGGTACAATCGCCGCGCCAGCTGCACTTGTATTTATTTGTTTTTCTACCGTGTTCCTGTAGGGCTCCATTATGCAGTTTTTAATTAGTTTGTGTTTGTATTTCACCCGTCCCAAATCAGCGCCATCCCGGAGCGAGGCGATGTAAATCTCCACTACAGGTGTAGCTGCCCGCTCGGGCACTAGGAGAATCGTGTCTGACAAATGGAAGTGGGG